ATATTGTTCAACTTTCATACAATATTTAAATAAAAATATATATATAAACAACATAATACAACTTTTCTACAATTTTACTACAACTTTACTACAATTTCTGCAGTATAATGTATGTCATGTCTTTTTCTTCTTCTGAAATTCAGCCAAAATCAAGTCTAATCTTCACCAAAACACCCTCAAAATTGAGATATAAACTCCAAACCATATTCCCAATTGTTTGCAACAACACCCAATCCAAAAAATAATGGTTTTTAAAAACCCAAATTCGAATTCAAAGCTTCAAAGCTTTTTAATGGTTGTCAATGGTGGAATTGTTGCACTCTTTTCCTTTGCTTTACATTACTGTTAGGGATTGAGAGATAGAGAGAGACGTAGAGAGAATCCCAATTCTTTACAACAACACCCAATTCAAACAAATAATATTTTTTCAAAACCCAAATTCGAATTCAAAGCTTCAAAGCCTTTTAATAGTTGTCAATGGTGGAATTGCTGCTCTCTTGTGCAAGATACGTGGGGGGGAGGGGGGAGGATGAGATGTGGAGAGAGAAACGTGGGGTAGTGAGATACAAAGAGAGAAACGTGGGGGGAGTGAGATTTGTACGTTACAGTGATTGTAGGAATTGATTAATTATCCTTAAATCCTAAAAATGTATATAATTGGTAATTTTGTATATATGAGGTAATTAAAGTGAAACTTGAGTAGGAAGGGTAATAAAGTTTTCAATAGTGTATAGGTATGTAAAAATTCCTTTTTTTTCTACCCTTCAAACTAATTACATTTCCGACCCATAGTAATTTTTGTGGGAAGTTTTTTCTTTATTCTCCAATTCCTTTTTATTTCTATGCTTCTTTTCTTTTTTTTTCTTTCTTTTCTCCTTTTCTTTTTTCTCGTTTTTTTCCTTTTCTAATTTCATTTAACTTCTTCTTTTATATTCTTTTTCTCTTCATAATCTAATTTCATTTACTATTTTCACTATTTTTTATTATTTTTTTTATACTATTACTAAAGAAAAATCAAATTGTGTACCAATTAAGTGTAACTATTACAATAAAAAAATATTAACTAACATATGATACCGGTAAATATATAGCTATACCAACAGGGTATACAATTGTATGCAAAGAGTTAATTTTTTTAATTCAATTATTAAATTGAAATAATATCAATTGTCATTAAAAATTTCAAAAAATTCTAAAAGGACCTAATTGTAAGAGTATACCGTTGCATTATATAGCATACTATAATAGTATATCATCGGAATGAACTGTATACCAAAATGGTATATAGTATATCATTTTGGTATATAGTATACATTCTTCTTTGCTAGTTAAACGCAATAAATTATAAACTATTGAACTAACCAAAATGGTTTATAATATGTTATTTTGGTATATAGAGGATTAGTTCTTTCCTTCAAAAAAATTAGTAGTATACTATTGTAGTTATTATATAGGGGGATTTGCATCTATACCCGTTTTTTGCGCCACGTTTTAACTTATACCCGCTTTGCAAAAAAAATTGCAAGCGTACCCACTTTTTGCGTAAACTTCAGGCATACGGGTCTGAAGTAGCAAAGGCAATCACGCAAACTTCAGCATTCTAGTAGACGGCCCCGAAGTTGTTTGTAATTGCTGAATTTAAGCATTCTACTAGCTGAAGTTTTGTTCTCTATTTGTTGAACTTCAGCATGTTTTAGCTGAAGTTTTGTCCTGGATTCAATAGTTTTGTTGTAAAGCTTTTTCAAAAACTTCAGCAGAAGATGCTGAAGTTATTTAGTTCATTTGTAAAAACTTCAGCACTAAATAAGGTGAAATTTTGTCCTGGATTCATTAGTTTTGTCATAAAGCTTTTTAAAAAAACTTCAGCTGAAGATGGTGAAGTTATTTAATTCCAGTCGTACTAGCTGAAGTTTTGTAGTGTTGGCTGAAATTTTTGTTTGTAATTGCTGAACTTAAGCATTCTATTAGCTGAAGTTTTGTTCTATATTTGCTGAACTTCAGCAAATTAGGGTAATGTATGAGTTGGGAGTATTTATTTAGTGTAGTCTTAAGACTCAAAAGACACTTCTTAAGATTAAATATATTCACAGAAGAAGAGATGGTCTTCTTAGAAATTCTTTTCATCTTGTATTCCACTAGTGATGTTTTTTCGTTTTGATTTTCAGTAAGCTACTGTGTTGTTAATACTTTAGCTGTTTAGATGGAAAGAGTATCTTGTCAAACTTTGATGATGAGTCACATAACTATTTAAGGAATTACATTATATTACAGTTATCATATAAATATTTTTATATTTTTCAGTGTAATAGCATGTTACTATTTGTCTTCTCTTTCACTCGTCAATTCATAGTTTGTTAATTGTAGTTGGCTTTATATAAAGTTTACAAAGAAAAGGGCAGCCTAGTGTATAATAAGAAGAAGAAAATGAAGGAGGAGAAAGGGGGCTGAAGTTGTTTAAAAAGTGGGTACAAGTTAAAAAGGAGACCAAATAGGATGCACTGTGCAATTTTTACAATTATATACTCTTGAATTAATTATGTATACCGATACAATATATAATACAATACAAATCTGTCTTCTTTGTCGTTCAACTCACTTTCAACCCAAGATTTAAAAATCTACTTTAAAATCTCCACCAAATTAACTCAGAATATAGCCACATCCTCCAATTAACATTTCGAACATACCCGGCCAGAATCGGATTAAAATAACCACAAACTCAACAAACCCAATTTATGAGTTTCAAAGCTTCAAGGTCCTCCAATGGCAGATTAATGTTTTGCAGAAGTCAGAAGTCTTAGAATTTAAGTCAGAATAAAACAGAACGAAAAAAAGAGTTGCATTTTCAATTTGCCCCTCACGCTAGGTAAAAGCTTAAAGCAAATTAAAAGGGAAAAGGCAAGTGAATTTATGGGTAATAAGTTTAGATTGCCTAGGTAGGAGTTGTAATTAATTTCCAAACGGGCAAATCCGGGTAAATAATTTAGGAGTGGTAGCATTTAGTGTTATTTCCTCGAAACTGCTGAAGGATCTGCGTGACTCTTGGAAGCACATGAATGCTTGTTTTTGCTTTTGCTTCACTCTTTCAAATAAGCGCCACAGTTACCTCCTAGTACTTCTTTTGTGCAGATTACATATATCCATACGGGAATTACGGGTATAGTTTCAATGACATGTAAACAATTTTTACATTATCAAGCAATTTAGAAGTAAATCACGAGGAACTGTAAGTGTTAGTAACAAAAAAATGGATTAAATATTTGTTGCAACAGGTTCAACTACAGTAATACCGTAACTAAAATAACCAAAATAAGAATACATAATTAACACACGGAGGAAGCTTTATTTTTTCTTCAAGTACGTTCTTAATCTGCAGTAGGGTCATGTTAACATTTTCAAAAAATTGGTATATGGAAATATCACAATGCCAAAGACATTGACAAAAGCCTTTAGGCCACAGATTTTCGTAGTAGGCAAATTGACCTTGTTACAATTATATGTAACTGAGGCGACTCGATGAAGGCGGTGCCTCTCTGTGTTCGACTCTTGGCTCTTCTTGGTGGCCAGTTTTCTCTTTTTACTTTTCAAAGATTAACTTCATTTGGCGTCAAAATAGCACGATATAGCCAGTTTTCGGACTGGTCATTCAAAAATAGCCAGCATTTACCAAGTCAATGAAAAATAGCTACTATTTTGCTACAACAGAGACCGGTCCAGCATAATATACTGGAGTTCGGTGCACCTGTGTATGAACTCCAGCATATTATGCTGGACCGGTATACTTTGCAGGCTCCAGTATAATATACTGGAGTTCTAGTGTACTTATGCTGGAACTCCATCATATTATGCTGGAGTTCCTGCATACTTATCCTGGAACTCCAGTATAATATGCTGGAGTTCAAGTATACTTATGCTGGAACTCCAGCATAATATACTGGCGTATTTTCCGGGTTTTGAATAGTGTTTTCGCTCAGATTTATCTTTACATAAAAAGTGGCTAAATTTCAATTACTTTTGAAACTAAGCTATTTTTGAACGACCAGTTGTAAATCTGACTATTTTTGAATTTCACCCTCATTTGGCTCGTGGCCGTAGCCCACATAGTAGGGTGTTTGTTTTAGAAAAAGAAACAAAAGAAAAGAAAAAACGTGTTTATTTATGTTTTATCAAAAAGTTTTCTTTACTAATTTTTTTGGAAGAACTATTTTCCTGAAAAAAGTTTTAAAAACTATTTTCCTTAAAGATACTGAATTGTTTATTGTATGGTAATTCACGAATTATTCTATCATGTAGAATTCCAAGAATGTCAAGACAAGGAACGTGGGCTCCGCCAAGAGGGATTACTGCGGGCAATGTATTTCTTATCACCAATCGTTATTAACACCATATCCAGTGCTCAGAAGCCACACGCCTCTCTAGTCTCTTACTAGTGTGTCCCGTTATTACTCCAAAAGAGTATCCTTAGGGTCGTTTAGTTGGAAAGAAAGTTATCCCGAAATTAATTATCTCGGAATTAGTTATTTCATCTTTTAGTGGGGATAAAAATTACTACAAAATCCCGGTATAACTAATCCCGGGATTAATTATATCGCAGTTTTCTACCAATCAAACATGGAATAAACTCTTCTTAAATTTAGTCTCGGAATTAATTATTCCTTATCTCTCGTACCAAACGAGTCCTTAATTTACCGAAAACACCCTCTAAACATACTTCACGTAGCACAACTTTATTTTTTTTCAGGTTTAACCAATTGGTATCAACGTTCATTAATCCGACTAGTTCATATTTGTATACGTGTGTTGTTTTTCAAGTCTCAAATACAAGGAGATGCCAAAAGTTCACTATATACAAGTTACAACTTAGCTAGTATTATGTTGTACTGGAGTACAATTTTGAAAAATTAACGGTAATAGGGACATTATCGTCCAAAGAAAATAATATTCAAACATTAACGACCCTTAGTAACAACCAAAAGTCCACCTATGTATTGCCACACATCCACTCCCACAACTCTACAAAATGGTCTGACATCTATCCTTCTCCGCTCCAAACTTCCAAAATGGCATCTTTTACAATTAAATTTCTGGCACCTTCATTGCCAAATCCAGCTAGATTTTCCAAGAGTACTGTCAAGCTCCATGCAACTCCGCCGTCTGTGGCAGCGCCGCCAGCTGGTGCTCCAGAGGTTGCTGCTGAAAGGCTAGAACCCAGAGTTGAGGAAAAAGATGGTTACTGGATACTCAAGGAGCAGTTTAGAAAAGGCATAAATCCTCAAGAAAAGGTCAAGATTGAGAAGGAACCTATGAAGTTGTTCATGGAAAATGGTATTGAAGAGCTTGCTAAGATACCCATTGAAGAGATAGATCAGTCCAAGCTTACTAAGGATGATATTGATGTTAGACTTAAGTGGCTTGGCCTCTTCCATAGGAGAAAGAATCAATGTAAGTACTGAAGCTCAGTTCCAAATTATATATAGCTATCTCAATTACTCCTTAATCCCAAACATTAAGTTAATAAATGATTGGGTGAATCTTTTATATTTTGACCATTCATCTTGATTTAATAATCCGAAGATTTATTTGACTGGTTTTACGCTAATCATCAACTTATGTAACCCTCGGGCAGGCGCAGATGCAATGTATAACCCACCGTTCAACTGAACATAGCATTTTTCACATGGAGCATAGATATATATGTGAAAAATCACTAAAATTTCAACAAATATTAAAATATGAACCCCTAATTGTGAAAATGCATTAGGTTCGGTGGCAAGAACATGAAGGTTGAACTTATAAAGTTTAAATCTTGGATCCACCTCAGCTCTCATAGAGCGGAGATTGGCTATGCTTTGTGAAACTCACGGAGTTAGTTCTAGGCTATGTATATGCACGAAAGTCAATCTTGTTCTAGCTGAACTTGTAGGGATATGCTCAAATGTTCTATTTTATGATTTGATTTATGAGGAAAAAACAAAATACATTTCAAGATCTTATTTCATTACCATATTTTGGTGACCAGATGGGCGGTTCATGATGAGATTGAAGCTTCCAAATGGAGTAACAACAAGTGCACAGACTCGATACTTGGCGAGTGTGATAAGGAAATACGGGGAGGAAGGATGTGCTGATATTACAACAAGGCAAAATTGGCAGATTCGTGGAGTTGTACTGCCTGATGTGCCCGAGATACTGAAGGGACTAGCAGAAGTTGGGTTGACCAGTTTGCAGAGTGGCATGGACAATGTCAGGAATCCAGTAGGAAATCCTCTTGCTGGAATTGATCCAGAAGAAATTGTAGACACAAGGCCTTACACTAATTTGCTCTCCCAATTTATCACTGGCAATTCACGAGGCAATCCAGCAGTTTCTAACTTGTAAGTCTTGCATACAGTTTTTCTATTCATTGTTTTTTTATGCGTTGATCGTGCTATAGTCATTAAATGGGTTCTTAATGGATTTAGTACTGAATTTAACTTATATACACTGGCAATGTAGTATTTAGTGTATTTTAACATGTCGTAGCAGGTAACCAATATTATATTCTAAGTTACTAACCTCACTTATTCAGACCGACTAAACCTTTAAACTGAATCATAGTGTAAAATGTCATTTACATTGTCAGAGCCTAAAACTCTTTAGCATTTACCTATGGACATATCTGTTGCGTTCAGTTTTTGCGTACTTGATTACCCGTAAATCAGTCAAGGTGGTATATAACCTAGTATATGCCTCCCTCCTCTCCACACACGCTCTGAGAATCAAAATGAGAATTTATCCTTTCTTAGCTTTCCCCTGATTTTCAAAAGAGGGAGGAACTCTCTGATGTAGTTATGTTTGTACCAATCTTCATGATAACAATTGTGAAGAATGGAATCGTTCATTTGATAATGAAAGAGAATTTGACTTATGATCTTGTTATTGAGGGAGAGGTCAACAAAAGTGTTGAGATATTTTGATGTTATTTCAGGCCAAGGAAGTGGAATCCGTGTGTAGTAGGCTCTCATGATCTTTATGAGCATCCCCATATCAACGACCTCGCCTACATGCCTGCCACGAAAGATGGACGATTTGGATTCAACCTGCTTGTGGGTGGGTTCTTCAGCGCAAAAAGATGTGATGAGGCAATTCCTCTTGATGCATGGGTTCCAGCTGATGATGTTGTTCCGGTTTGCAAAGCAATACTGGAAGCTTTTAGAGATCTAGGTTTCAGAGGGAACAGACAGAAATGTAGAATGATGTGGTTAATCGATGAGCTGGTGAGTGATACAGCGGTACATTGACCATTTTCATGCTTATTTAGTCTTATGATTTAAAAAATAGTCTCAACTAAGTCTCCTCGCTGTCATTGTATAACTATTTTGACTAAATATTTAGGGCCTTATTTCCAGCTAAAATACATTTTCTGATTTGGTAGTGTTTTATAGCAAGTCCTACTTCATGTAATGGTGGAGACTGAAAGATACATTCTCCTCTATGTAAACATCTGCTGTGTCTTTACTAGTTAGACCAAAGTTTTAATTAGCTGTTCTAACTTGTAACGATTTCAACTAATGCAGGGTGTAGAAGGATTCAGGGCAGAGGTCGAGAAGAGAATGCCCCAGCAACAGCTTGAGAGAGCATCTCCAGAAGACTTGGTTCAGAAACAATGGGAAAGGAGAGATTATCTTGGTGTACATCCACAAAAACAAGAAGGCTACAGCTTTATTGGTCTTCACATTCCAGTGGGTCGTGTTCAAGCAGACGATATGGATGAGCTAGCTCGTTTAGCTGATGAATATGGTTCAGGAGAGATCCGGCTTACTGTGGAACAAAACATTATTATTCCCAACATTGAGAACTCAAAAATTGAGGCACTGCTCAAGGAGCCTGTTCTGAGCACATTTTCACCTGATCCACCTATTCTCATGAAAGGTTTAGTGGCTTGTACTGGTAACCAGTTTTGTGGACAAGCCATAATTGAGACTAAAGCTCGTTCCCTGAAAATAACTGAAGAGGTTCAACGGCAAGTTTCTTTGACAAAACCAGTTAGGATGCACTGGACAGGCTGCCCGAATACGTGTGGACAAGTTCAAGTTGCGGACATTGGATTCATGGGATGCCTGACTAGAGATAAGAACGGGAAGACTGTGGAAGGCGCCGATGTTTTCTTAGGAGGAAGAATAGGGAGTGATTCACATTTGGGAGAAGTATATAAGAAGGCTGTTCCGTGTGATGATTTGGTACCACTTGTTGTGGACTTGCTAGTTAACAACTTTGGTGCAGTTCCACGAGAAAGAGAAGAAACAGAAGATTAATAAAATTTAGAATAGTTGGCGCTTTTGCCGTGTTCATAACATGTAATGTATGATAAATCAATGCAAACATTTCTACCTACGTGAGAATTATTACATGCTACATATATTCTTTTGAAGAAAATTGCATTCATACTCCTCAATTGAATATTATTAATTGCTTGTAAGAACTGATTCTCTGAAGTCACTGCTCTGCAGTTTTCTTCTTTATTATTGGCCAGAGATTACATGGTGTCACTCTTTCTAGTTGCAAAACATATTGAAGTGAGTGCCAAACCTAAATTTCATAACTTTCATGCCAGGAAAGCCAAGAGAGTGCAGGAAAGTTATGTTGCGTGGACTCTCCAAAATGATGCCGCACCCGTGTCTGATCCTCCAAAAATATACTATTTCCGACACGCACGGCAATATTTTCGGAGAGTCCAAGCAACATAGTAGGAAAGAGCAAGTTGTTCTGCTACTTTACCCTGCAACAGTAGTTTATAGCAGAATAGTATGATATTGACAGGGTAAAAATTAAACATAACAATATCACTTGCTATCTCTTTTATCTTCACTCTTCATCTTTACCTTTGTTTATCTACAGGATTACAGTATGCAAGGTTAATTTCCCTGGCTTCAGACTCCACCAAATTTCTTCAAATATTTGACCATTCATCGATGAGAACAGGCAAATCACATAAGAAAGAAAGGATAAAGCATATACAAGACGTAATTGGAGTTCAAATCCTGAAATTAAACATAAATATTTGAACATCATTCTTCATTCTCCAAGGCTAGATAACTACATACGAAGTTTCAACATAATTTATCTATATCTATCTATATCTATATCTATACTATATTTAAAAACAGCCTTTATCGAAATGTCGTTCGCCTTTTTTACCCTTTAAAAATAGGTTTCACATTAGATAAAATAGTTATTTAACTTAAGGTTTGTTTTCCTAATATTTACAACTATAAAATCAACTTATAAAATTTTGCTTACTAAATTGTTCCTTATTTGACTATAGGAGTTTAAAAGCAAATTAATTAAAATTTTACCTTATATAAACTTTTTTTACTTAATTAATACCCCTTTATCAATTTCTTTAATCACGAAATACATGTTGACAACTATGTAAGTTTTCATTACTAATTAAGTTTCTTACCCTTATTTAAATTATTTAAAATAACAAAAAAAGATATAGAAAACGCAACCAAATTCCACCGAATTTTGTAGCATGAATTACTAAATATAAAGCCTTTTGCTTTTTGGAAGAAAGTTCTAACACTTAGGATTTAAAATCTTAAAAATTTATCTTCTATGCTAATAATTTAGCTAAATATTAATTCTATTATAATTTTAGTATTATAATTAAAAAGTTATCTAAATGATAAAAGACAACATATCTTAACAACATCATTCGTGAACTAAGTGAACTAAGTGAACTAAGTGAACTAGCATTCAATCAATACTCAAGTATCATATCACTAAAATATTATCAGCAAATAACTTTTAATTCGTAAGCAGTAAATTTTTTTAACACAATAAAATCTTAAAATACGTATGGAAATAAATCTTAAACATTATTGTAATTTTCTATATAAATACACACAACATGTATATGAAATGTTAATAGATTTTTATACTTTTTGCGAATAATATTTCATTATGATACACTTCATGTTGAATAAAATAATAATAATAAATACTAATATTCTACTTGCATTTTTATGACAATCATTATTTTTCTAAATGTAAAGTAATTAATTCGGTTAAATACTATCCTTAAATTCGTAATACGATAACTAAACCTAACAATATGAAGTCCCGTTTTGTTTTTTCGTATTTTTTAGTTTGAGTTCCAATAGTAATAAGATGAAATTTATATTACTATATTAGGTATCTAAGCAAATAGACTTTATTTTTTAAGGTCAAGATGAATATATTGTTGCATGATATTTGAGTATAAATCAACATATTATTTTATTCTATCTGAGTTACTAAAGCAAATATACAAATATATCAAATTTATGATATGACATTAGAATACTTTTGTGTGACATACTTTTCTCCTTTTTATTATATTGTCTAAATAAGAGCAATATCCATCATTTTTAAGAGCTTGTGTTTTTCGTAAAATTTTATTTTATAACTCAAACACATAGTTTAATTGTATTTACGTGATTTTAAATATTTCGTATTCATTTATATATAATTCACGCGCAACGCGCGTATCCTAAAACTAGTTAACGAAAAAGATTGTAACAAAAATTAAGAAAGACATTCTCTATTAAACTTGAGCAACGAAAAAATTTGATTGAAGCCAACAGCAGTCGTCTAAGCAGCAGGGTCCGTGATCGGCTCCAACCCTATACCACTATAGAATGGCAAGAGTGGTCGATGCAGCTTTTACCCGAAGGATTGGGATCGATTTCCATAGAGAGCTAATATTAGTTTAGAATTGGGTTTCTATCTAATCTAGCTATGTGCGATGTTCTTAATTGCACCTCCAATCATTCTTTGCTTGGTTAAATACCCACACTAGGGTTGGGTCACAACCCTAGCTAATGGGTTCAGCTGCTCATAATCAAGGAAGAAATCAAAGATTGATATGAAATATAACCCATAAGAAGTAATTACAAGAGTAGAATGTAAGATTAATGGTTAACAAAGCTCTAAAATTACTCAAAAGAGCAAAAAGCTGCTGTTCACGTGTTCCTCTAACAACGGATACTGCAAACAAGCACAATAAGTTAGCTTTCGGGAATACTTGCACATACTTTTAATCCAAAACCTAAGCAAAAAGGAGCATAAAATAGGCTAGAATCCCTAGTTATCAACTCCCCCAAACTTAAGCTTTTGCTTGTCCTCAAGCAAACAAAGTAATTCCCACCTCCTCAAGATAAAAGAAAGGGAAATTTTAGCTGTCCTAAAGTAACCTCATCAAGAATCAATTGGGACTAACAATTACCCTCAACTCAAATGCATTATTAACAATACACAATCTTTTTAGCACCATGGCTTTAGTGCGACACAAAAGCATCAAAAGTTGACTCAACTCATCAAGGAAACTCTTTCTACTACATTGGTCATTGTGGAACCCAAACTCATACTCCTCGACTCTCCATATGCAAACTTCACTTTTAGATTGTATCACTCAGAACGAGGATTGTGGAAAATACACTTATCTCTCTCAAAGGAAGGTCACAAGTCCGGCTCTAAGTACCATAAGCTTGCCCCTTATGTGAGTCACCACTAATGTAAGCTCACTCAACTCAAGATCATATAGGGCTTTTGCGGGAATGTAATGAAGGCTTTTGGTTCAAGGTAGGATATATTGATCTATGAAGGTTTAATCTTCCTTAAGCACTTCATTTTCTTCATTTTGGCTCACATTTTCTTGACTCTTTGAGTCATTTACTTCTTCCTTAGGGGCTAGATAGACACACTGTCACTCTTTCTTGTTCATGTCAATTCATTTTCTCCTTTCTAATCATTCCAAGCCTTTCATCATTGCTTTTATTGAATCCCTTCATTTTCATTTTTTTCTACATTGTTCATTTTCTTTTTGACTTTTTGGCTTTTTTTCTTTTTCTTTTTGCCTTCCCTTTTCTTCCTTTTGTACCTTTTATATTTTTTTGCATTCCTCATCTCTTCCCCTAAACTTATACTTTTGCCAATTTGTAGTAAGGAAAGGTCGGGTGCCAAGAGAGGATCATTTTAGAACGGATAAAGGCTTGTATCATAGTTTTTGAAAGAACACGGGCTATGGCTCAACGAGGTTGACTAGGGATATCATTTTTGGTGGGCTATGGATGTTTTCAAGTCTCAATTTGGATTAAGGAGAGCCTATAATTACTTCTTAAGTCGAGCTACACTTAGGATTTCGCCTAGACAAACATTCAGGGCAAGTTCTACACTTATTGGCACGGGACTTGGACTTGCAAATCAATACCTCACACACAAGCTATAGGATTGCTAAAGAGATAGAGTCGAGGGCCCACAACAACCTTAGCTAAGATTTGAGCAACACAAATGGTTCCGAGAAACCACTTGATGATTGTTTAGTCAACACAAGAGTCTAAAGGTTACAACTATCACCATCCTTTACACATCAATTTGTTTTTAACCATAAGATCAAAGGTAAATGTGTTAGGCCCAAGTGAAGCTTTGCATGAGGCACTATTGTTCATTAGCTACTATTTATACAAAAACGAAAAGAAAATAGACCCAAGCCCTTAAGAAGGTTGTCATGCCATCCATCATCGGGAAGAGCCACCCGGTTCACACAAACTCCACCTTTGGAAAGAACCGTGGCATTAAGAAAACCAAAGGCTTATTGATTACGAAAACTTGTAAAAATAAGAAGCTATGAACTGAAAAAGAAGCTACTAAATGAAATAAGAAGCTATGCTATTAAGGAAAATTGCAAAAGAAGTTATGAAGTAAAATACGGAAAGTAAACTGAATATGTACAATAGGGGATTGAGACGAATATACATAAGAGGGAATGAATATATACATGAAAAAGTAACTTTATATACATACCGAAATTGAAAAATAACGAATACTGAAAAATAAATGGTAAAGTTATATACATACCAAAAGTGCAAAATAACAATAAAGAAAAATCAGTATCATAATTACAATCCAATTATCAAATCATCAAAATAGGACCACCCCCCCAAATAAAAACTAGCATTGCCCTCAATGCTAATAGCAAAAATAAGATCAAAGAGGGGTTAGAGAGTAAAGAAAACTCCCTATGGGTCCTCTGTCTGCATGGGGTCCTGTGGTTGGGTCCATGGATCACCTCCCTCAGGGTCCTGTGGCTGGCCTGAGGCACCTCCCTCAGGGTCCTCCAGCTCAATCTCCAAGTCATCAGCTTGGGGAATCAGTCGTCTCCTCCTAGGCTCTCCATCAGCCTCCTACTCCGGTACCTGCTCTGCCTGAGCTGCTGGAATTGGGTCCTCTAATAATAGCTCCAATGGTATGTCGCCAACTGATTTCATCTTTTCCACCTCTCCTCTCAACAGCTTCACCGGCTCCTTTGAGGCCCGAGTCTTTTTCAGCTTCTTCGTCTGCTTGCTCAGCTCCTTAATTGATTTTCCTTGCACTGCCAGAGCATCCATGATGATCTTTTGGTTATCCAGGAGCTTCTTCTGGTTGTCCAGAAGCTCCTTGAGAGCTTCCTCCACTGAAGCTGGCACCTGGGGCTGTGCGG